AGATCTATTTCTTCTGTAACATAGGGTGCATACTTTTGGGGACTTGGGTAAATTCAAGCACCATGTCCTTTGTGGGTATCACGTTCAGGAGGCAGAATGTGCAGTGTCCTGGGCATGGGCATTGGCATCAAGTTCAACTTCTCAGCTGAAAGGTCAAGACTCATTTTCTAATTATATATAAAAATTGGGACATACTAATTAGTAATATCTCACAGGATCGGTATAGACATTTGTGGGGAGCATTTGGGTTTTTTGTTTTTGAGACAGGATCTCACTCTATCCCCCAGGCTGGAGTACAGTGGTGTGATCATGGCTTACTGCAGTCTCAATCTCCTGGGCTCAATGCCTATCTCAGCCTGGGACTACAGGCACGTGCCACCACATCTGGCTTGTGGGGAGCATTTGCAGTAGTGTTTTACATTATTTATAATTGTGGCTTATAAACTCATTGAGCACAAAGTACATAGACAAGAAGATTATCTCTGTATTCACAGGGCTTGGCAAATAATAGAAGTTCAATAAACATTTTTGTTTTGAAACGAAGTCTCACTCTGTTGCCAGGCTGGAGTGCAGTGGCGTGATCTTGGCTCACTGCAACCTCCCTGTTCAAGTGATTCTCCTGCCTCAGCCTCTTGAGTAGCTGGGACTACAGGCGCCCGCCACCACACCTGGCTAATTTTGTATTTTTAGTAGAGACGGGGTTTCACCATGTTGGCCAGGATGGTCTCGATCTCCTCACCTTATCATCTGCCCGCCTTGGCCTCCCAAAGTGCTGGGATTACAGGTGTGAGACACCACACCTGGCCTATAAACATTTCTTGAACCAGTGAAAGGAAGAGTGAATTGGAGGCTCTGACCTTATACGCACCAGGATCCGTGAGTATAAACATGAGTACTTCACATCAACTACTGAGGTCATAAACAAGTGGGCAGGTGAGACTTTGTGGGAGGATGCTGGTGACCAGCCACCTCCTGTCCTTTAGTTAGGCTTGTGACACTGGAGAAACCAAAGCAGTACCACCAGACACTGAGTCAGGGCTGAGGAGGAGAAGCAAAAGGACACAGAGAGAATAGGACAGCCTGCCTTTCAGTTGCTTCGTCTAGCTGGACACACAGGGCAGGTGGAAGTGAGGTGGAATAGGTTGTCCCTCACCCAGCGCTCATTAAGCTGGTGTCACATGTATCACAATACTGTCATTAAAAGTTTTTTAGGCCAGGTGAGGTGGCTCATGCCTGTAATCCCAGCAATTTGAGACTGAGGTGGGCAGATCACGAAGTCAGGAGTTCCAGACCAGCCTGGCCAATATGGTGAAACCCCGTCTCTACTAAAAAATACAAAAATTAAGGAGTGGTGGTACGTGCCTGTAGTCCCAACTACTCAAGAGGCTGAGGCAAGAGAATCGCTGGAACCCGGGAGGCAGAGGTTGCAGTGAGCCAACATCAAACCACTGCACTCCAGCCTGGGCAACAGGGTCTTACTCCTATTGACCAGACAATCACGGCTCACTGCAGCCTTGACCTCCTGGGCTCAGGTGCTCCTGCCACCTCATCTTCCTGAGTAACTAGGGCTACAGGTGTGCACCACCACACTTGGCTAATTTTTTGTATTTTTAGTAGAGACAGAGTTTCTTCATGTTGTTTAGGCTGGTCTGGAACTCTTGAGCTCAAGTGATCTGCCCCACCAGGCCTCCCAAAGTTCTGGGATTCCAGGTGTGAGTCACCGCCCCCTACTCAATAAAATCATTTCAGAGTGGTGACTGCTCTAAAGAAAATAAGGGTAGGGTGCAGTGGTTCACATCTGGAATCCCAGCACTTTTGGAGGCCACGGTAGGAGGATGGCTTGAGGCCAGGAGTGCAAGACCAGTGTGGCCGACATAGCAAGACCCTGTCTCTAAAAATAAAATAAAATTAATTGAAAAAAACACTTGGGCTGGGCATGGCGGCTCATGTCTGTAATCCCAGCACTTTGGGAGGCTGAGACAGGTAGATCACCTGAGGTCAGGAGTTCAAGACCAGCCTGACCAACATGGATAAATCTCATCTCTACTAAAAATACAAAAAAATTAGCCAGGCATGGTGATGCATGCCTGTAATCCCAGCTACTCAGGAGGCTAAGGCAGGAGAATCTCTTGAACTTGGGAGGCAGATGTTGTGGTGGGCTAAGATCTGAGATCACACCATTACACTCCATCCTGGACAACAAGAGGGAAACTTAGTCTAAAAAACAAAAACTTGCCCCAGCGCGGTGGCTCATGCCTGTAATCCTGAGTAGCTACTGCTATTTAGGTAGGTGAGCCAAGATCATGCCATTGCACTTCAGCCTGGGTGACAGAGCAAGACTCTGTCTCAAAAAAAAAAAAACAAGAGAAAAGCTTAGCTAGGCATGATGGCACACATCCAAAGTCCCAGCTACTGGGGAGGCTGAGACAGGAGGATCCTGGAGACCAAGAGGTCGAGGCTGTAGTGAGCTGTGATCGTGGCACCACACTTCAGCCTGGGTGATGAAATGAGACCCCATCTCAAAAAATAATGAAGTAAATAATAAACAGAAGATGATAGTGTGGAGTGAGGGGTAGGGGGACTGGGGACTGCTTCAGATGGCTGGGAAGCCCAGGAAGACGTCTTCGAGGTGACATTTGAGCCGAGATGTGAATGTAATGACTTGGGGACACGGTACTGTTCTTAAAGGCAAAAAGAAGCCTGGTGTATTCAGGGAGCAAGATGAAGGCAAGCATGGTTTACTGAGATGGGAGAATGGAAGTTTCTAGGGAGAAGTTGATAGGCCCTCACTGGTTAAGTGGTTACCTATAGCCAATTTGATTTTTCTCCAATCATGAGCTGGTAACACAAATGCCACCTGAGCAGAGGCTCAGGAGACCAGACTCCATTCCCAGCTAAGCCTGATGCCTTGTGTCCATCTCACAAGTGCTAGAAAGGCCCAGGGTTGTCCAGGCACTGCTTGCCTAGAGCAGGTGAGCTACCCAGCTGGGCAGTGAAGGCTATCTGTCTGACCTCCACTGCCACCTTGGCACTGTTGACTTTAGTGAGTTGTGGTGGGGGTGCCAGGGACGCTGGGAAGCTGCAGAAACAACTGGCAGGTCTGCAGAGACTGGTGAGGTATGGGGACTTACTCCCATGCCCTCCTTTTCCTGCAGAGATTCAAGGAGCTCAGAACAAGCCTTCCCTCCTGAAAAGTCCATGGTTCTGCGGTGGGCCTCCAGCCTCCCCTGCCCTTCTTCTGCCACTGGGATCCCTGCCAGACATGGAAGGCTGGGGCCCTGGTATGGCAGTGCTGAGCAGGTCTTCAGACATCTTGTTCCAACCTCAGCTCTGCTCCTACTGCCTCGTTAGTAAAACACAAGTGAAATACTACCTCCCTCCTTGGGTGGTGACCTTGAGGTGTCTATGCAATAATGCATCTCAAGTGCTTAGTACTGCCTGACATATAGTACAGTTAGAAATGGATTATAGATAGGGAAACTGAGGCACTGGTAAGCGTACCAGGGGGCCTGTGGCCTGTTTTAGTTACTTCACGGCAAGTCTCTGCCTGCCTCTGAGCCATTGTTGATCTATCCATACAGTGAATTGGCCTGAAGAATGCTAAAGCCTCTTCCATCTTGGGGTTCTTCTGGCTTTTTGAGACAGAGTCTAACTCTGTCGCCCAGGCTGGAGTGCAGTGGCGCGATCTCAGCTCACTATAACCTCCCCCTCCTGGGTTCAAGCGATTCTCCTGCCTCAGCCTCCTGAGTAGCTGGGACTACAGGCATACGCCACCACACCTGGCTAATTTTTTATTTTTTAAATATAAAAATAAAAATGATGAGACAGGGTTTCATCATGTTAGCCAGGATGGTCTCGATCTCCTGACCTTGTGATCCATCCACCTTGGCCTCCCAAAGTGCTGGGATTACAGGCTTGAGCCACCGCACCAGGCCTGGTTCTAAATCCCAAGACAGGGCCACCTACTCTTCTAACACCTGTCATCCAGCCATTGTTCCTTGGCTCTTCCCCAGGGAAAATGCCTGTTTGCCACTCCAAAATGAACTGCAGCCTTTTGTGCTTGTGAACACAAGAATAACACAGCTCCTGATTGGTGGGGCGCAGTGGTTCACATCTGGATTATTTGGAAGGCCAAGGGTGGGGGGATCACTTGCCCAGGAGTTCAAGTGGCCTGTACAACACAGACAGACCTCATCTTTACAAAAAATTAAAATTAGTTGAGCGGCCAGGCGCAGTGGCTCACACCTGTAATCAGGAGTTAGAGACCAGCCTGGGCAACATGGTGAAACCTCATCTCTACCAAAAAATACAAAAATTAGCTGGGCATGATGGCATGTGCCTATAGTCCCAGCTCCTGGGGAGGCTGAGGTGGGAGAATTGCTTGAACCTGGGAGGCAGAGGTTGCAGTGAGCTGAGATCATGCCACTACACTCAAGCCTGAGCAAAAGAGTAAGACCCTGTCTCAGAAATAAACAAAAAAATAGAAACTTAAAAAAAAAAATGAGTTGGGTGTGGTGCTATATACCTGTGGCCTCAGCTGCCGGGGAGGCCGAGATGAGGACTGCTTGGGCCCAGGAAGTTGAGGGTAGTGAGCCATGACTGGGCCACGCACTCCAACCTACATGATGGGGCAAAACCTTGTCTCAGAAAAAAAAAAAAAACCCCTAAAAAACCAAAAACTCCACCCCCCACTCCTTGGGTGAAGTCCTCCTTCTGAATGCCCGTAGAAAATCCCTGGTCCTAGGGGGTGGATGCCTTATATCCCACTTTTCCTGATTGCGAAACGGGGACTCAGGGTGGGGAAGGGACTTGCCCTAAGTCCTCTGCTAGAAAACAGGGAGGAGCTGGCAATTTGAATCCATGTCCACCCAACTTCGGCCAGAGGAGAGGGGACAAGCAGCTAAAGGCCAGGCTGGAGGGGAACTTCTGCCCTCAGTGCTTGGAAGGCCCAAGAGTGCCAGTCACCAGCATCCCTGGAGGAAGGGAGGACAAGCAGACACTTGACCTAATGGGAGCCTTTATTCATAAACACTTGCCTCCCACTCTGCTTCCCTCTTCTCAGGCTTTTGGAAGTGGGTGTAGCCTCACTCCTGTGAGGACACCCAGCAAACCTGGCTGCCTGGGAGGAGTCTGGGACAGGAGCGTAGATCTCCAGCATCCCAGCATGAGCCCAGATGACTTACAGCTGTTCATGCACGGTTCTTTTTGGGGAGCTGCTGGTTCCCCTGGGAGTCCCACTGTACTGCTTGCTCCCTGGGGGTTGGTCCTCAAGGCCACTCAGCAGTGGCTATGACAAATTATGATAAATGTAGTCCAAGGGTCAGTGTTCAAAGAAGAGGAACAAAGCCTTCTGCCCCCAAGGGAAGCAGTGGGTGGAGGCAGGCCAGGCCCCACTGGCTCAGGAGCTCAGGCCAAGCCTTGGATGTGTATGGGTGGTGCGGTAATTCCCAGCTCCTCCTGCAAAGCCCTCAGGGGCTGCTCCCAGCGCTGCTCATAGTACAGGTTGAGGAGACATGGGGCTCTGCGCCCATTCTGAATGGCCCATGGGATCAACTCTGAGATCAACACTTGCAGGCTCCTGTGGGGCAGCAGAGGAAAAAGAAAACGTAAGGTTCCTGGGGGCCAGGCACTCCACAGTTCAGCACTTGATGTGCATTTTCTCAGTTCATCCTCACAAAGACCTTGGAAGGATGTAGTTACTATTCCTCCTTTTCAGATGAGACAACAGATCTCAGTGAGGTGGAATCCCAAGCCTAAAGTCACACATCTTGAACATGTCGAAGCTCAGATTTAAATCATGGCCCCCTCATTCCAGAATCTAACACCAACCTCCCTTCTCACTGACCCTCATTCTGATGCTGCATTTAGGCCTGACCCAAGAGACCCCAGAGTCCTGTGAAATGTACAGGCTTTATTTGCTCCCTTGAAGACCCCTGTCCCAAGCCAGTTTCACATCTCTGCTCCATTCCTTCTACCCTTACTTTCTGGAGAACTAGAAAGGGCTGTGCAGGGACCTGTGTGCTCTTCCTACTTCCAGGAGCCCTGGTCCCTCTGAGTTCTGCCAACTCCAACCCCCCAACCCTGACCCACCCACCACTTGAAAACTTACTGAGCACTGAGTTGGATTGGTCCAAAGAGTGCACCCAGGATGCACATGGGCAGGCCAGTCTGGACAGCCTCAAACCATTTCACCACGATCTCCCCTGGGGGTGAGGGATGGGTTGGGAGGTGAACAGGCTATCTAAAGGAAAGGCCAGTGGTGCTCACAGCAGGGCAAAGAGAGGCAATTGTTCCTCTCTAATCTCTACCAGGGTCAGCTGTGCCCAGTCCTGGCCTGTGCTGGAACCTGGGGCACTCAGCTTAGGGTATGGGAGAGGGCCCAAGAGTAAACAGAAGGGAATAAGGGATGGAGAAGAAGCCTGGGGTCAGGGCACAGAGGATCCTATTGCCCCATAAGCCAGGCTAAACACTCCAGGATGGTTCCTGTAGGTCTTAGGGAGCTGCTGAGGTTTCAGAGCAGGAAAGCAGCTAAGCCCAAAAAGAGACCAAGAGCCTTGAGGATGGGCTGCCGCTACATCAGTGCAGGAACCCTGAGAGGCAGCGGGAGGGAGAAGGGGGATGTGTGGCGAAGGTGCTACCAAGATGTTCAGGTAAAGCAGAAAATGAGGCACAAGCCAGGTGATGCAGGGGGTGGTGGAGATAGGCAAGCCCTGCCTGGCCCTGAAGCCACCCAGGGAGACAGGCCGTTGGGGTTGGTGGTACTCACCCAGGATGTTGGTGGGCATCCCCAGCACGGTGTGGAGCATGTCGTGCACCTCCCGGTACCGCTGAATCACGTATGCGAGCTCCTCATCATCCACGAAGCGGGTGGGTGCTCGGGTGTCTGGGGAGACCCTCTGACAACCACGAGCCTCCCTTAGAACCCTTCCTGATGGTTTCTAGGACCCGATTTGCCAGACTCTCTCTGGCACTGTCACAACTCTCAACAAACTCATACCCTACTAGAAAACCCCGGGGACTGGTCAGGCGCCATGGCTCATGCCAGTAATCCCAGCACTTTGGGAGGCTGAGGCAGGTGGATCACCTGAGGTCAGGAGTTTGAGACCAGTCTGACCAATATGGTGAAACCCCATCTCTACTAAAAATACAATCATTAGCTGGGCATGGTGGCAGGCACCTGTAATCCCAGCTACTTGGGAGGGTGAGACAGGATAATTGCTTGAACCTGGGAGGTGGAAGTTGCAGTGAGCCGAGATCGTGCCACTGCACTGCAGCCTTGACGACAAAGCGAGGCGCCGTCTCAAAATAAATAAATAAAAGATTAGTTTCCATCCATACCTGCTAACTATGGAGGCTTTGGGCACAGAATATGCTGGAACTGGCAACCTTCACTCCTTGGCTTGCCCCAACTCACATGTAATGTCTATGGCCTATTAGAATCTGTGGTACAGAAGCTCTCAATAAGGAGTGGGGAATGAGCAGTTATTGAATAGGTATCAGAGTTTCAGTTTTGGAAGATGAAAAAGTTCATTTCTGCATAACAATGTGAATATACTTCACTACTAAACTGTACACTTTTAAAAGATTAAGATGGTAGGGCCAGGCATGGTGGCTCACACTTGTAATCCCAGACCTTTGGTAGGCCAAGGCGGACAGATCATGAGGTCAGGAGATGGAGACCAGCCTGTCCAACATGGTGAAACTTCGTTTCTACTAAAAAATACAAAAATTAGCCGGGTGTGGTGGTGCACGCCTGTACTCCCAGCTACTAGGGAAACTGAGGCAGGAGACTCACTTGAACCCAGGAGACAAAGGTTGCAGTGAGCCAAGATCATGCCACTGCACTCCAGCCTGGGTGAGAGTGAGACTCTGTCTCAAAAAAAAAAAAAAAAAAAAGATTAAGATGGTAAATTTTATTTTGTGCTTTTAAAATTTACTATAGTCAAAAATTAAAATTTACAGGCTCATGCCTGTAATCCCACCACTTTGGGAAGCCAAGGCAGGAGGATCACTTGAGGCCAGGAGTTCAAGACCATCTTGGGCAACATAGCAAGACCCTGTCTCTATAAAAAATACAAAAATTAGGCTGGGCATGGTAGCTCACGCCTGTAATCCCAACACTTTGGGAGGTTGAGGCAGGCAGATCACCTGAGGTCAGGAGTTCAACACCAGCCTGGTTAACATGGAGAAACTCCATCTTTTTATGTATGTATGTATGTATATCTATTTATTTAAAGACAGAGTCTCACTCTGTAGCCAGGCTCCAGGCTGGAGTGCAGTGGCACAAATTCGGCTCACTGCAACCTCTGCCTCCCAGGTTCAAGCAATTCTCCTGCCTCAGCCTCCCAAGTAGCTGGGACTACAGGTGCGTGCCACCACGCCCAGCTAATTTTTGTATTTTTAGTAGAGACGGGGTTTCACCATGTTGGCCAGGATGGTCTTGATCTCTTGACCTTGTGATCCACCCAACTCAGCCTCCCAAAGTGCTGGGATTACAGGCATGAGCCACTGCGTCTGGCCTAGAAACTCCATCTTTACTAAAAAATACAAAAATCAGCCAGGTGTGGTGAGGCACACCTGTAAACCCAGCTACTTGGGAAGCTGAAACAGGAGAATCACTTGAACCCAGGAGGCAGAGGTTGTAGTGAGCCGAGATCGCACCACTACACTCCAGCCTGGGTAACAGAGTGAGAGACTCTGTCTCCAAGAAAAGAAAAATACAAAAATTAGTCAGGTGTGGTTATGTATGCCTGCAGTCTCAGCTACTCAGGAGGCTGAGACAGGAGGATTGCTTGAGCCCGAGTTTAAGGTTACAGGGAGCTCTGACTATACCGCTGCACGCAAGCAAGATATTGTCTCTAAAAACAAAAACAGAAAATGAAGCCCCAAAGACCCTGGTGCTAGCACAAGTTGCTCCCAGCTTGGGGTGCTGCTCTCTCCCACTATCCCCATCTTCACTGTGGTAATTCCTACTTATCCTTCATGACCTGGGTTAAGCGTCCCCCGCCCCCCACCCCACCCTGAAGCCATCCCTATAGACCACTCAGGTTCATGTTATGGTCTCTTGAAGCATCATGCACCTCTTTGTGGCACTTAAAATAAGTGTACGTTGATGTTTAATGTGTGATAATTAATGTCTCCTAGACCTGCACTGTCCAGATTGGCAGCCATTTGCCACATGTGGCCACTGAGAAAGGTGGCAAGTTCCAACTGAGATGTGCTAAACACATAAAATACAAGAGACTTAAAGAATGTAAAAATCTCAGTAATTTGAAAATATTGATTTTTGAAATATTACTTTGAAATAATACTTTGGATATACTGGGCTAAACAAGATGCATATTTAAAATTAATTCTGGCCAGGTGCAGTGGCTCACACCTATAATCTCAGCACTTTGGGAGGCTGAGGCAGGCAGATCAACATAGGAGTTCAAGATCAGCCTGGCCAACATGATGAAACCCCATCTCTACTAAAAATACAAAAATTGGCCTGGCATGATGGTGGGAGCCTGTAATCCCAGCTACTTGGGAGGCTGAGACCAGAGAATTGCTTGAACCTGGGAGGCAGAGGCTGCAATGAGCTGAGATGGCGCCTTTGCACTCCAGCCTGAGTGACAGAAGCAAGATTTTGTCTCAAAAGAAAATAAAAAAAATTAATTCCACCTTTTTTTGGGGGGCAGATGGAGTTTTGCTCTCGTTGCCCAGGCTGGAGTGCAATGGTGCAAACATGGCTCACTGCAATCTCCACCTCCTGGGTTCAAGCAATTCTCTTGTCTCAGCCTCCCAAGTAGCTGGGATTACAGGCTCCCACCACCATGCCAGGCTAATTTTTATATTTTTAGTAGAGATGGGGTTTCATCATGTTGGCCAGGCTGGTCTCGAACTCCTGACCTCAGCTGATCCACCAGCCTCAGCCTCCCAAAGTGCTGGGATTACAGGTGTGAGCCACTGTGCCCAGTTCCACCTGTTTCTTTTTGCAATTAAAGTGGCTGGCAGAAAATTTTAAATGACCTACATGCTCACGTTATATTTTTATGGATGGTATTGCAACAGCCTGTCTGCTACACAAGGGCAGGGCTGGCTCTGTTTTGCTTATTCTTTTACCTCCAGTAGCCTGATCCCAGGCCTGGATGAATGAACATCTCTTGAACATATGACTAAAGGGCCAGCCCTGGGACTTCTTTGACCTCAGGTAGGAATGTTGTCTCCTCCTCTTACCTGGCCACTGCTTCTGAGTACTCAGCAGCACTCATAAAGAGTGGGCATAGCCTGGTCTTCCTTTTCCCAAAGAATGCCCTCAGAGTGTCCACAAGCTGAGATCTGATGTCTCCCTGGCTTTGGGGCTGTTGGCTTAATACCATGCTCGATCTGTGTCTGTGGCCTTACAAGGTCCTAGGACCTAATTCCCTCTGCAGTTCTACTTGTTGTGTGAAGCTGATCATAGAGTATCCACCATGTGCAGCGGCAGCGTAGGGTGTCCTTTATGTATATATTTCATCCTTGCAATCTCAGAGATAAATACTGTTATTATGCAGATATAGATAAGGAAAACAAGGGCTGCCCATGGTGACTCAGGCCTGTAATCCCAGCACTTTGGGAGGCCAAGGCCAGCTGATAACTTGAGGTCAGGAGTTTGAGACCAGCCTGGCCAATATGGTGAAACCCTGCCTATACTAAAAATACAAAAATTAGCCAGGGGTGGTGGCGTGCCCCTGTAGTCCCAGCTACTCGGAAGGCTGAGGCAGGAGAATCGTCAGGAGGGGGAGGTTGCAGTGAGCTCAAATTATGCCCTCCAGCTTGGGTGACAGAGGAGACAAAAAAAAGATAAGGAAAACAAGGTTCAGAGGGATAAAGTAATTTGCCCAAGATCACACGGCTAGTAAAGTGGCTCAGTCAGGATTTGAAACAAAGTCTGTTAGATTCTAAAGCTAGTGGCCTTAACATCCATTACCAAGGCTAATAAGTGCCCTGGAAGATATATGTGAGGTCCTCTTACTTCTGATGAGGAATCAGAGACTTAGCAAGGTTGGAGGATTTGTCCAAGGTTGTAAAGCTGAGAAGAGAGGCAGGATTCTAACTCAGGCTCCTCCTAATTCTCAAGCCCGTCTGTAATCTTGATGCTGCAAGATGACCGCACCTACAACAAAGTCAGCCTCAGGGAGGGGAGGGTGGCCTCACCTTGAACCTTTATCTAAATCTTGGTGGAAACAAAGGTACTCCTTTGCATTCCATGAGCTGCTGATTTCCTTGCTTTCCTTGTGTCACAATCGCCAGAGTGCTTACCACAAGTGGGACTGTGGCTGAGCAAGGTGCCCTGGCAGTCCCATCCCTGCTACGCCCTCTCCTCCACAGCAACAGGACTAAATACTGGGGGGGAAATTCAGAAGACTGTCTCTCCCTGTGTGGCACTTGAGGCAGGTCACTCTGGAGAGTTAGTTTCCCACTGATGAAATTTGCATCCTGGTGAAATCTGAGATGGTATAAAATAGGGCAAGTGTCCGGGCGTGGTGGCTCAAGCCTGTAATCCCAGCACTTCAGGAGGCCGAGGCGGGTGGATCACGAGGTCAAGAGATCGAGACCATCCTGGTCAACAAGGTGAAACCCGTCTCTACTAAAAATACAAAAATTAGCTGGGCATGGTGGTGCGCGCCTGTAGTCCCAGCTACTCGGGAGGCTGAGGCAGGAGAACTGCTTGAACCCAGAAGGCGGAGGTTGTGGTGAGCCGAGATCGTGCCACTGCACTCCAGTCTGGGTAACAACAGCGAAACTCAGTCTCAAAAAATAAATAAATAAATAAAAAATAGGGCAAGCGATCGCCTGTCAAGGTGGCTGTGCAGGAGACTGAGGAACAGAACATCGTCTCAGGGACAATAACCATCTAGAGCAGTGGTTCCCCACTGCCCACCAGTGGACATCTGTAATCTCTGGAGACATCTGTGGTTGTCACAACTTGGCAGGGGTGCTCCTGGCACCCAGTGAGTAGCAGCCAGGGATGCCAGGAAACACCCTACCATGTTCAGGACCACCCCGACAACCAAGAGTGACCCAGCCCAAACACTGACACTGCCAAGACTGAGAAACTGTTCTGGGGAAACTTTGGAGACCCCTTACCTCCTCCAGCCTGGCTGGCTCTGGCAGCCGGGCTGGATAGGCATTTGGTAGGGGGACCTTGATGGGATGTATCTGTGTTGGAGGAGGGAGGGAAGATGGCACAGGGACAGGGAAGATAGGCCAACTGGATCCTAAGGTCCTTTACAAATCAATGTTACCATCTTGCTCCAGACTTTCCACAAGCTTCCTACTGCTCCTATTACAAAATATAGAAGAACCCACAGAGGAGCAATGTGGCCACCACAAACCTTAATGGAGCACCTACAACTGGCTAGGTCAGTATCAGGGATTTAGTATACTACCCCAAACCAAGGACAAGGGCAGGGGAACAATCTAGGCAGGAAGACAGTCCTCGAATCTGACCAGAGTACTTGCAAAAGGTACTGCAAGGGAGGGGTAAAGCCAGCACATGTTATGGGAATTTAGTAACACAGAGCCCTGTGGCTGAAACTGGGCCAATGCCATCATACTGGTGGCCTCTAGTCAGGGCCCAGCCCTGACTGACTTCCCAGCCCACTCACTGTCTCTCCTCCCTTCACTCCTCTGCAGCCATACTGGTCGACCTTCCTTTTCCTAAATACGTGGGGCCTCTGCCCTTGCCGGTGCCTCTACTCAGAATGCTCTTCCCCAGCTCTCCACAGGGTTGGATCCTCCTCACCTTCCACGTCTCCTCAGAGGAGCCGGCCCTGACCATCCCATCAGAAACACTGTCTTCTATCACACTAACTTCTGTTCATAGCCGCCAGAATGTAAGCTCCACTAAGGCAGGCTTTTTGCTGGTTTTGTCCACTGTATCCCAACTGCTGACAATAGTGCTGGTGTACTTTTTTTTTTGAGACAGGGTCTTGCTCTGCTGCCCAGGCTAGAGTGCAGTGGTGTGATCACAGGTCACGGCCCTCAACCTCCTGCGCTCAACTCATCCTCCCACCTCAAACTCCCTCCCAGGTGGCTGGGACTATGGGTACACATCACTATGCCTGGTTAATTTTTTGTGTTTTTTGCAGAGACAGGGTTTCACCATGTTGCCCAGGCTGGCCTCTAATTCCTGGGCTCAAGTGATCTGCCCACCTCAGCCTCCCAAAGTATTAGGATTACACACGTGAGCCACCATGCCCGGCCTAGTGCCAGAATATTCTAATTGCTTAAAACATTTGGCCAGGCGCGGTGGCTCACGCCTATAATCCCAGCATTTTGGGAGGCCGAGGTGGGTGGATCACGAGGTCAAGAAATCGAGACCATCCTGGTCAACACGGTGAAACCCCGTCTCTACTAAAAATACAAAAAAAATTAGCTGGGCATTGTGGCACACGCCTATAGTCCCAGCTACTCAGGAGGCTAAGGCAGGAGAATGGCTTGAACCCAGGAGACGGAGGTTGCTCTGAGCCGAGATTGCGCCATTGCACTCCAGCCTGGGTAACCAGCGAAACTCTCAAAAAAAAAAAAAAAAAAAAAAAAAAAAAAAAAAAATTTACCTGTATTTAATTTAATTTATTTATTTAGAGATGGAGTCTCACACTGTTGCCCAGGCTGGAATGCAGTAGTGTGATCTCGGTACACTGCAACCTCTGACTCCTGGGTTCAAGTGATTCTTCTGCCTCAGCCTCCCAAGTAGGCACATGCCACCATGTCCGGCTAATTTTTATATTTTTAGTAGAGACGAGGTTTCACCATATTGGCCAGGCTGGTCTGGAACTCCTAACCTTGTGATCTACCCACCTCAGCCTCCCAAAGTGCTGGGATTACAGGTGTTGAGCCACCGTGCCCGGCCTTACCTGTATTTTTATATGAATTTTTTTGTTTTGTTTGAGACAGAGTCTCACTCTGTCACCCAGGCTGGAGTGCAGTGGTGCGATCTCGGCTCACTGCAATCTCTGCCTCCCAGGTTCAAGCAATTCTCCTCAGCCTCCAAAGTAGCTGCGATTATAGGCGCACACCACCACACCCGGCTAACTTTTGTATTTTTAGTAGAGACAGGGTTCTACCATGTTGGCCAGGCTGGTCTCAAACTCCTGACCTCAGGTGATCTGCCCGCCTAGGCCTCCCAAAATGCTGAGATTATAGGTGTGAACCATTGTGCCCACCCTGAAAAATCTTTTAAACTATTTTATTGTCTACCTCTCCAACTAGAATAGAAATAAGGGTGGGAAACTTGGCTGTCCAGTTCACCATTATATCCCCAGTACACACAAAAAATGGATGGGCCAGGCACGGTGACTTAGGCCTATAATCTCAGCACTTTGGAAGGCTGAGGCAGGCAGATCACTTGAGGTCAGGAATTCAAGACCGGCCTGGCCAATATGGTAAAACCCCATCTCTACTAAAAATAGAAAAATTAGCCAGGCGTTGTGTTGTGCACCTATAATCCAAGGTACATGGGAGGATGAAGCAAGAGAATTGCCTGAACCTGGGAAGCTGAGCTGCAGTGAGCCATGACCGCCCCACTGCACTCCAGCCTGGGTGACAGAGCGAGGCTCTGTCTCAAAACAAAAAACCAAAAGGATGGCACATGGCAGAGGCTCAGTAAGTGAATGAGTTCACCAACAGTCGGGACATCCCCTTTCCCCCTCTCCTTGTCCTCCTTTGCCTGGGGCTGGAGAGTGTCAAACCTGCCACATCACGGACAGCGATGTCCGTGGAACAAGGGAGCATAGTACAGCAGTTAAGAGCATGACCTGGCGTTGATTACTGGCTCCATTAATACCAGCTGCGTGAAATTAGCAAGTTGCTTCAATGCTCTGAGCCTCTGTTTCCTTATGTACTAAAAGAGGATAATAATAGAACATACTTTCTTTTTCTTTTTTCTTAGAAGAGACAGAAGCGGAAACAAGAGAAAAATGAAATAAAAATACATATATTAAAAAAAAAAAATGGAACATACTTGACAGGGTTGTGGGGGGGATTCAGCAAGACCACAGATGCAGCTGGCATCAAGCATGCAGTGGGAGGTTAGTGGACACTGGCCAGTATTATCATTTGAAGGCATGTTCCACCCATTTGCCTGTCCCATAGAAAATGACAAAGCCTTGGCATAACCCTGAAAAGCACTCTCGTCTATGGTGGCAGCTCAGGGCTCCTCTTTACTCAGGGTGTCAGGCCTGTGCTATTCCTCTGTCCTGTCTGGTGACTGCTAAGTACACAGAAGCTGAAAACTCACGTTCACATCCAGAAAACGGAGATATTCGCGGCCCAGGGAGCCCTCTGGTAGGCTCTGGAGCTTGCCCAGGTCGAGGGTGGATGTCGAAATCCGGGGACGCTCCCTGAAAGGCAAGACTTGGGTATTGGGAGAGGGCTGGCAAAGGTAGGTGAAAGATCCAACTGCAGTGAGCTAGGAGGCAGAAGAACCCACAGAGGAGCAATGTGGCCACCACAAACCTTAATGGAGCACCTACAACTGGCCAGGTCAGTATCAGGGACTTAGCATACTACCCCAAACCAAGGACAAGGGCAGGGGAACAATCTAGGCAGGAAGACAGTCCTCGAATCTGACCAGAGTACTTGCAAAAGGTACTGCAAGGGAGGGGTAAAGCCAGCACATGTTATGGGAATTTAGTAACACAGAGCCCTGTGGCTGAAACTGGGCCAATGCCATCATACTGCCCAACTCAGAGGTCATCACAGTGTATACATGTGTATATGAACGACATCCCTGGAATTGGGCAGTGCCCAGTCTGTGCAACTATATGTGGCCAGGGTATCAAGAGCATGCTAGAGGAACAGAACAAACAAAATGTGATTCTAGAAAGGTCAGAATACCTAGAGATTACCCCCAGACCCCCAGGCAGAGCTGGGACCTACTGCAGGATCTGGGCACCCTCTGGATCCCTCCTCATCTGGTCCCTGAGGACCTTCAGGGTTCGGTGTCCCGTGGTCTCCCCTAGAACTGCAACCATGTCTGAAAGGACAGAGACAGGCACAAATGGGGGATGTCATCTTAGGTCTAAGTTACCTGACCCTGTCTGAGCCTGTTTCCTACAGGATAAATTAGAGATAATATCTAGCTCTTCATTGTAAGGATTTATATAGAACACTTAGCAAATTGCCCAGCACAAAACAAGGGCTCAGTATACACATCTATAGTTCTTATTCTTTATCTACTGGGGTGGGACGGCTCCGCTTGTCACAATATTCTAAACATTTTCTAAGTCACTTTTCACAATACAATATCACGTCTCCATTGATTGGTAGAGGCTTAGGCATCTAAGAGAGTGCTGGGCTACAGCCCAGGTGTGTTCACTATCTAGGTGACCTAGTGCAAGCTGCTTCACATTTCTGTTTTGTTTTGTTTTTTGAGACAGGGTCTTGCTCTGTTGCCCAGGCTGGAGTGAAGTGCTGTGATCACAGCTCACTGCTAGGACTACAGGTGTGCAGCTAGCTTTTTAAATTTTCTGTAGAGATGAGGTCTTGCTATGTTGCCCAGGCTGGTCTTGAACTTTGGCCTCAAGTGATCCTCCCATCTTGGATTCTCAAATTGTTGGGGTTACAGTTGTGAGTCACCATGCCTAGCCTGCTTCACGTTTTTCAGCCTTGGTATCCTAATTTATGAAGTGCAGACAACTTTCTTAGATGGTTCTTGTGAGAAACCATGAAAATCATGCATATATAACACTTGGTGGATAAGCGGTAGTGGCTGACGCCTGTAATTCCAACGGGCGGGGGAGGACCTGAGGCAGGAGGATCGCTAGAGGCAAAGAGTTTCAGACCAGCCTGGGCAACATGGCAAGACCCCAACTCTACAAAAAAAATTTAAAAATTCGCTGGCCTTGGCTGGGTGTGGTGGCTCACGCCTGTAATCCCAACACTTTGGGAGGCCAGGTGAGTGAATCACCTGAGGTCAGGAGTTTGAGACAGGCCTGGGCAACATGGCGAAATCTGGTTTCTACTAAAAATACAACAATTAGCCCAGGTGGCACAGGCCTGTAAGCCCAGTTACTCCGGAAGCTGAGGCACAAAAATCGCTTGAACCTGGGAGGTGGGGGGTGCAGAGAGCCGAGATCGCACCGCTGCACTCCAGCGTGGGCCACAGAGAGACATTCTGTCTCAAAACAAAACAAAACAAAAAAACCAAAAAACCACTGGCGACATGGATATATAGTGTTTTTTGTTTAAGACAGGGTCTCATTCTTGCCCAGGTTGGAGTGCAATGGTGCAATCACAGCTCTCTGAAGTCTCGAACTCCCCTGCTCAAATGATCCTCCCCACCTCAGCCTTCCAAGTAACTGGGAATACAGCCACATGCAACCAGGCCCAATTAATTTTTGCATTTTTTTTGTAGATATGGGGATTCACCATGTTGCCCAGGCTGGCCTCAAACTCCTTAGCTCAAGCCATCTGCCCGCTTTGGCCCCTCCAAAGTATTGGGATTATAGGCGTGAGCCACTGTGTCTAGCTTATTGTTTTTATTAGTAGGAATAACAGTATTTCCCAGAACTCAAAAATCCTGGGAGGGATGAGAAAAACACTGTAGAACCCTACGATGTTCTAGTTACACATTCAGCAAACATTTATTGAGCATTTACTATGTGCCAGGCACTATCCAGAAGGCTGCAGATACAGTGGAACGAGGCAGACACGGACCCTGACCTCATTAAATTGACTTTCTAGTAGAATGTTATAAGCTGATCAGTACTTATGAATCATCTATTTAGTCTAGCTGTTCTCAACATGGCTGAATGACAGATTCTCCCAAGTAGTTAGGCAGACTTTCGGATTCCACGCTCCTTTCTCCCTCCACGGCAGATTCAACAGTTAGATCCAGGAATCTGCAATTTCATAAACATTCCGAGTAGTTACGAGCTGCAACCAGGTTATCTCGACCTAGACTATGCTCCAGTTACCCACAGCAAACGGCTCCCAGCCGCTCCCACGGGGACAAGGCGCGGGAGGCCTTACCGTGGCGGTAGGGGTTATAGAGCGCCATAGCCGCGGAACCCGCGGCCAGCAGCGCTTTCTGCAGCGGGGAGGTGGGGATGTGGTGCGGATACAGCAGGCCGACGCCGTCGCTCCTTGCTCGGAACGGCATTTCTGCGGGGCAAGAAAAAGGCCGAGGTCAGAGGAGCTGGGCGCTCCCAGGCTCCTTCCCACCTGCGCCTGGAATCAGGCGCCACTTGCCTGTCGCAGGCCTCGGGCGGCCGGGGAGCCAACGAAACTGGCGCAAGACCGCGTGCAGCACAGTCGCCATGGCAGCGGGCGTCCGCGAAGGATGGGCGGACACGGAGAACGCCGCGAAGCCCCTCCGAAGACGGAGCGTCGGAGGGGTCAAAAACCACTGAAAAACCGATTCTGATGGCGTTGCCTACGGCCCTTTGAGGAGAAACACCGCTGCATGGGCAGAAGGCACGTAGGCCAAGTAGGCGAAGGAAGCCCACGCGAACTGTCTACCTCCTACAACCACCGGTCCAAGACTCTCGCCATTTCACTTCGCCACAGAAAGCGTCTCCAAAGGAAACGCAACAACGAAACCACACTCACTCCAGCTCAGCGCCGGACCCTATTTCCTTCTCCACATCCGGTTTTCCCCGAAGACTATTAAGATGCGAACTTCTTCCGGCTGTGGAACCTGGCGGCGCCTATGGTAACGACGACATTTGGGGGCGGGGCCTTGCGGCACTTCCGTCCAGGTCTTCAAGTATGGGGTCTGCAAACTTATCGCGACTGCAGGGGCTTTTCGCGGTCTATAAGCCCCCGGGACTAAAATGGAAGCACCTGCGGGATACCGTGGAACTGCAACTTCTGAAGGGTGAGTGCCTCGAACGAGACCCAGGTTCCCGCTCCCATTCTTTTGGAAATCCATCTCCGCTTCTGGCACGTCCCCCAAAACAAAATCACGTGATCTGTTCGCCTGGACCGACCGCTTTCCTAAACGCTTGTTCTCTGTGCTTCCTTACTCCTCACTTTCCTCTGTTTTCCGAGGAGGAAACTGACTCAGTATTGTTCCTTGTAACACGGCTACCACACTGTAGAGTCAATTTGAATCTGCCTGTTTCTTTACTGCTGTTCTGCCCTTTGCATCATGAGCTTCTCAGTTTTCTACGTCATACTTCCCTGTTGTCCTTTCCGCCAGGTGTTTGGATAGAACAAGATATTCCTGGCCAGGTGTCGTGGTGCACGACTGTAATCCCAGCTACTCTGGAGGCTGAGGCAGGAGGATCGCTTGAGCCCAAGAATTTGACATTACAATGAGCTATGATGGCGCCAGTGCACTCCAGCCTGGGCGATAGAGCGAGACCCCGTCTCTTAAAAAAATATTTTACGTGGCCGGGCGCGGTGGCTCACGCCTGTAATCCCAGCACTTTGGGAGGCCGAGGCAGGTGGATCACGAGGTCAAGAGATCGAGACCATCCTGGTCAACATGGTGAAACCCCATCTCTACCACAAATACAAAAATTAGCTGGGCATGGTGGCGTGTGCCTGTAGGCCCAGCTACTCGGGAGGCTGAGGCAGGAGAATTGCTTGAACCCAGGAGGCGGAGGTTTCGTCATTGCACTCCAGCCTGGGTAATGAGTGAAACTCCGTCTCAAAAAAAAAAAAAAAATTGTATGTGTATATATATTATCAATGTGTGTTTGTGTTCAGGTCTCAATGCCAGGAAGCCTCCTGCCCCTGAACAGCGTGTTCGCTTCTTGCTGGGCCCCGTGGAAGGCAGTGAAGAGAAGGAGCTGACCCTCACAGCCACCAGTGTACCCTCTCTCACCAACCATCCACTGGGTAAGGCAGATTTAAGATCCTGGGTGTCACTTCCCAGTAAATCCCTGAGCAGAGTCAGTGTCGAAGTGCTCAGACTCCTGTGCCAGGCCCATGACAGTCCACCGAAGAGTGAGGTATTGGACCAGGAAGTGGCAGACTTTCTTGGAAAGGGCCAGATACTGAATGTTTTTTTTTTTTTGATACTGAATGTTTTAAACTTTGCCGGCCATATGGTTTCTGTTGCAACTGCTCAACTCTGCCGTTGTAGAGCATTTGTAGTACAAAACAGCTGTAGACAGTATCTAAAGGAATAAGCCTAGCTGTATTCCAATAAAACTTTAATTATGAACATTCATATTTGAGTTTCAGGTAATTTTCATGGTCACAAAATACAGCTGCCCCTGAATCCATGAGTTCCACATCCCACGATCCAGCTTCAGATGAACAATATTTGTGGGGGTGGTAGGGAAGTCCACAAAGTTCCAAAAAGCAAAACTTAAATTTGCTGTGCACCTAGTACTGTGTTGAATCAACTCAAAGTGATGCATAGGCATTATATTAGGTGTTATAAGTAACCTAGAGATGAATTAATGTATATGGGAGAGCCAGGCCTGGTGGCTCATGCCTGTAATCTCAGCACTTTAGGAAGCCGAGGCAGTGGATTACTTGAGCCTAGGAGTTTTAAGATCAACCTGGGCAACATGGCAATATGCTGCCTCTATAAAAGAGTACAAAAATTAGCCAGGTGGGGTGGCATGTGCCTATAGTTCCAGCTACTCGGGAGGTTGAGGTAGGAGGATCAACTGAGCCCAGGAAGTCGAGGTTTCAGTGAGCTGAGATTGTGCCCCTGCATTCCAGCCTGGGTGACAAAGCGAGACTCTGTCTCCAGAAAAAAAAGTGGCCAGGTATGGTGGCTCACACCTGTAATCTCAGCACTTTGGAAGACTGATGTGGGTGGATCACTTGAGGTCAGGAGTTCGAGACCAGCCTGGGCAACATGGCGAAGACTCATCTTTACTAAAAATTAGCCGGGCATGGTAGCATGCACCTGTAATCCCAGCTAGTCAGGAGGCTGAGAAACAAGGAGTTGCTTGAACCTGGGAGGCAGAGGTTATGGTGAGGTGAGATCCTGCCATTGCACTCCAACCTTGGCAAAAGAGTGAGACTCTGCGAAAAAAATACATATATATGGGAAAAAATGCATAGGTTATATGCAAATACTATGGCATTTTAAATCAGGGACTTGAACATATACAAATTTTGGTATCTTTGAGGGATTCTGGAACCAATCCCCCTGGATACCAAGGGATAACTGTAGTATTCTCTTTATGTATTTTGAAACAGTGTCTCACTCTGTCACCCAGGCTGGAGTGCAGTGATGAGATGCTGGCTTACTGAAACCTCTGCCTCCTGAGTTCAAGTAATCCTCTCACCTCAGCCTCCTGAGTAGCTGGGACTACAGGCACAAGCCACTATGCCTGGCCAAGTTTTGTATGTTTTTGTAGAGATGGAGTTTTGCCATATTGCCCATGCTAGTGTTGAACTCCTGGGCTCAAGTGATCTGCCTGCCTTGGCCTCCCAAAGTACTGGGATTATAAGCATGAGCCAATGCACCTGGCCTCTTGATTTATTTTGAACCATTGAAAAATGGAAAAATCGGCTGGGCATGGTGGCTCACGCCTGTAATCTCAGCACTCTGGGAGGCCGAGGCAGGTGGATCACCTGAGGTCAGGAGTTTGAGACCAGCCAACATGGTGAAACCTTGTCTGTACTAAAAATACAAAATTGCCCAGGTGTGGTGGTGGGCGCCTGTAATCCCAGCTACTTGGGAGGCTGAGGCAGGAGAATCGCTTGAACCTGGGAGGTAGAGATTGCAGTGAGCCAAGATCGTGGCATTGCACTCTAGCCTGGGAAACAGAGCAAGACTCTGTCTCAAAAAACAAAACAAAACAAAACAAAAAACAGAAAAATGGAGAAATCAACCAGGTGCGGTGGCTCACGCCTGTAATCCCTAGCATCTTTGCGCGTCAAGTTCCCTATCAGTAAAATGGGGGTAAAAATACTCTCTGAAAACTGGGCGCAGTGGCTTATGCCTGTTAATCCAGCACTTTGGGAGGCTGACGTGGGTAGATCACCTGAGGTTGGGAGTTCGAGACCAGTCCGACCAACATGGAGAAACCCTGTTCCTACTAAAAATTCAAAAAATTAGCTGGGTGTGGTGGCACATGCCTGTAATCCCAGCTACTCAGGAGGCTGAGAATTGCTTGAACCTGGGAAATGGAGGTTGCAGTGAGCTGAGATTGTGCCACTGTACTCCAGCCTGGGCAACTAAAGTGAAACTCCATCTCAAAACAACAACAACAACAAAAAAAAGAGGCTGGGTGTGGTGGCTCATGCCTGTAAACCCAGCATTTTGGGAGGCTGAGGCTGAGGCGGGTGGATCATGAGGTCAAGAGATCGATCGAGACCATCCTGGCCAACATGGTGAAACCCCATCTCTACTAAAATGCAAAAAATTAGCCGGGAGTGGTGGTATGCACTTGTAGTCCCAGCTATTCAGGAGGCTGAGGCAGGGGATTTGCTTGAACCAGGGAGTTGGAGGTTGCAGTGAGTTGAGACTGTGCCACTGCACCACTCCAGCCTGGGCAACAGAGCAAGACTCCATCAAAAAAAAAAAGAAAAGAAAAGAAAAGAAAAATGGAAAAACCATTCTTAACTCACAGACCACAAAAAACAAAAACAAGAAAACAGTCTTCAGGATTTGGCTTGTGGACTGTAGTTTGCTGACCGTTTTTCTATTCTGGGACTCCAGGTGAGAAATGAGACTCTAGGTTGAAGTCCTAAGGTGAGAGTTTTGGGTTTCTGGGAAAGAATGATTTTTTTTTTTTTTTGACAGTCTTGCTCTGTTGCCCAGGCTGGAGTACAATGGTGTGATCTTGGCTCACTGCAAACTCTGCCTCCCCGGTTCAAGCGATTCTCCTGCCTCAGCCTCCTGAGTACTGGGATTACAGGCATGCGCCACCATGCCCAGCTAATTTTTGTATTTTTATTAGAGACAGGGTTTTACCATGTTGGCCAGGCTGGTATTGAACTCCTGACCTCAAATGATCCACCCACCTCGGCCTCCCAAAGTGCTGGGATTACAGGCATGAGCCACTGTGCCCAGCTGAAAGAATGATTTTTTTTTTTAGTGAACAAAGTTGCCCAACAATGGAACTGGTTCTGGTTATGTGCCCCCATTGCTAGATGTGATTAAGGCAGTGTCAGGGAACCTGGAGGTTTGACCAGAAATCTCTAAAACCCCTTGGACTTGTGATATTCAATGACTTTACTATGTGGTAACAAGAAGTATAATGTATCGAGTTGCCACTCTTTTTTTTTTCTTTTTTGTTGGAGATGGAGTCTTGCCCTGTCACCCAGGCTAGAGTGCAGTAGTGTGATCTCGGGTCACTGCAACCTCTGCCTCCCAGGTTCAAACAATTCTTCTGCCTCAGCCTCCTGCGTAGCTGGGATTATAGGCACCTATCACCGTGCCTGGCTAATTTTTGTATTTTTAGTAGAGATGGGGTTTCACCATTTTGGCCAGGCTGGTCTTGAACTCCTGACCTGGTGATCCACCTGCCTTGACCTCTCAAGGTGCTGGGATTACAGGCATGAGCCACTGCACCCGGCTGAGTTGCCACTCTTTAATAGGCATTGTGTTAAGCTTCCCCCAAGTACAATCCTCCTTGACATCACCACAGTCCTGTGAGATGTTTCCTATTCCATTTCACAAGGGAGACAACTGAGGCTCAGTGTTGACATTTATAACATGGCCTGGATTCAGTAGGTCCTTAACTACCCTGGACCCTTCCCCTGGATTCCTCTTGAACTATAGAAGTGTAAACACTTCTGGCTCATTCTGTCATTTATTCTTCTAGTAGTTCTTTGCGGAGGAGCTAGTGAGTTGACACACCCAGGTTCTGCCTTAAGGAGATCACAGCCTCCATTTTCTTTTTTTCTTTTTGTAGAGACTGAGTTTTGCTCTGTCGCCCAGGCTGGAGCTCCGTGGTGCGATTTAGGCCCACTGCAACTTCCACCATCTTGGGCTGCCCTTTGAATCCCAAGTTCAAGCAATCCTGCCTCAGCCTCCTGAGTGGCTGGGACTACAGGCACACACTGCCACACCTGGCTAATTTTTAAATTTTAGTAGAGATGGAGTTTGGCCATGTTGCCCAGGGTGGTCCCAAACTCCTGAGCTCAGGCAGTCCACCCGCTTCGGCCTCCCAAAGTGCTAGGATTACAGTTGTGAGGCCACTGCGGCCGGCCACAGCCTCTATTTTCTTCTGGGGACTCTCCTTCAGCAGAGCTAAGCAGGGAACCACGCACTCTTGACCTGCAGTGTTATGCCAGTCTTCTTAGCACCTCTCACTGGGAGACTAATGATAGGCAGAGTAAGAGGCATCTTGGGCTGCCCTTTGGATCCCAAGGAACTGGAGATACAGCTCAGGGTCCCAGATTCCATGATGGGGAAGCCTAAGAGTCTAGTCAGATGCTAGTTTGGGCTCCATTCTGAGAACGAGGTCATCATGCAGACCAAAGCCATCCTGGGGTTGGATTAGTTGAGAAAATGGACCTTGTTTGTTTCTTTCCAGTCTGTGGACCAGCATTCACCCATTTCAAGGTTGGCGTGGGACATCGGCTGGATGCCCAGGCTTCTGGGGTGCTTGGTAGGTGATGTGAGAAGCTTGGGGATACAGTGATAAGGCTTGAGGAAAGATCCCGGAGCTACCAAGAGCCCCAGCCCACTTCTTACCTGGCACCCATATCCTACTACTGTTCCCCTCCCCTGATTCCTCCCCCAAGGCTGATCAGCTGGGGAGTGGATAGGTGGGATGGAGGTAATCACAGTCACCCACCTTTATTCAGTGATTCCCACCCATGATGTAGTTCGAGGCCCTTTATGAACATTTATTTGCCACAACAATGTTATTAGGTAGATACTGTATGATTTTATGGAAGAAGAAAGTAAGGCTCCAGGACTTAGGTGACTTGTCCTGGGTCACGTGGCTAGTGAATTCCCCTGGTCTGGAGAGGGAGATCCATCATTGCATCGTGGGGCAGCCAGGTGCATGACTCTGGCCCCAGTGGCCAGGGCCTGTGTGTTGCTGGGACTGGACACACAAAGCCCTAGTCATGAGCCGTCTGTGTCCCTAGGATCAGGTGGTGCCCACATCCTCCAGCCACGACAGTCACAGTCTCCTTGTCTTGATTCCTGGGGCACAGGCAGGCAGACATGATCTGATGCCCCCTCTCCCTGTTCTGTCTCCCCACGAGTGAATCTTCTCCTTCAGCCAGAGGGAGAAACAGACCGGGAGAAAGGCAGGAAGTGCCACAGTGGCCACCATTTATTGTGTCCTTCCTCTGTGCTGACTGCATAGCACCCACAGGAATCAGACAGTATATATATATTTTTTTGAGATGGAGTCTTGCTCTGTTGCCCAGACTGGAGTGCAGTGGTGCCATCTCAGCTCACTGCAACCTCTGTCTCCCAGGTTTAAGCAGTTCTCCCTACCTCAGTCTCCTGAGTAGCTGGGATTATAGGCGTGTGCCCATCTGACTAATTTTTTTTTTTTTTTTTTTTTGAGATGGAGTCTTACTCCTGTTGTCCAGGCTGGAGTGCAGTGGCGCAATCTCAGCTCACTGCAGCCTCTGGCTCCCACTTCAAGCTATTCCCAAGTAGCTGGGATTACAGGTGTGTGCCACCACACCTGACTAATTTTGTATTTTTAGTAGAGACAGTGTTTCACCATGTTGGCCAGGCTGGTCTTGAACTCCTGACCTCAGGTGATCCGCCTGCCTTAGCCTTCTAAAGTGTGGGGATTACAGGCATGAAGCACTGTACCCAGTTTTCAGACAGTATTTGTACCCTATTTTATTGATGGGGAACTTGATGCTCAGAGGGGCTAAAGGTTATGCTCAGAGCCATCCCTGATTTGAGTATAGGTTTGTGTGACTGGGCTAGGGATCTCTTCCTCTCAGGTGTCAGAATCCCCTGGGGAGCTTGCCAAGGTAAGCCCAGCAATCTGCATGTGACATATACCCAGAGGGGTGCACTTGCTCCCTATAGAAGATCTTCTTGGCTTCTTGCTGCCTTTGGCAGCATCAGAAAAGGGAGTGGTATTCTAATGGTGGGGGTAGGGGTGGGGATTCCTAGGAAAACAGGAAGGGGTTCTCAGGTGTGAGATGTGGCTGACTGCTTTTCAGTGCTCGGCGTGGGACATGGATGCAGGCTCCTCACTGATATGTACAATGCTCATCTCACCAAGGTATGAAGGTCTGGGGACAGTCCGCTTCTCCCTTGGTCCTTTCCTGGGGGTCACCAGCAGTATTCTGAAGCTTAGAGGATTCTGTGGGGGAATACCCAAGCCATCAGCAAGCATTTTTTTAAATTATTGTATGCTGGAGGGTAGGGGACTGTAATAATAATTACAATAATAACTACTGGCATTAGTTTATGCCAACTACTCTGTGCTGAGCACCATCCGTGGACTCCCTTAGGGAAGACTTACAACCTCCCTGTAAGTGGAATCTGTTGTTAACCCCATTTCACAGATGGGAGAACTGAGGCTCAGGGAGGAGATGTCATTTACCCAGGTCACGTAGCTGTTAGGGCCTTAAAAGCTGGGATTTGAACCTAGGTCTCTCCAACACCACAGCTTGATCATAATGCCATCCCATATTCTGTCCCAAGACTGAGAGGTGGATGTCAGCATCCTGCCCACAGGGAGCTTACCACCCAGAGGTAGGGTCGGGGCTATGGAATCTGGTAGCGCAAAGTCCATGTGCGGGTGCCACATTATGAGGCCCATGTTTTTAGTGGTTAAGAGCACAAATTCTGGAGCCAAATGGCTTTGGTTTGAACCCCAGCTTCTACCACGCTGACAGCTATGTGTCCTTGGCTGGATTACCTAATAGCTGTGTGCCTCAGTTTCCTCAACTCTAAAATGGGAATGAGGACCAGGTGTGGTGACTCATACCTATAATCCCAGCACTTTGGGAGGCCAAGGCAGGAGGATCCTTTGAGCCCAGGAATTTGAGACCAGTCTAGGCAACATAGCAAGACTCCATCTCTATTTAAAAAATTTTTGAGGCTGGGCGCAGTGGCTCATGCCTGTAATCTCAGCACTTTGGGAGGCCGAGGCAGGCGGATCCCAAGGTCAGGAGATGGAGACCATCCTGGCCAACGTGGTGAAACCCTGTCTCTACTAAAATACAAAAAAATTAGCTGGGCGTGGTGGCGTGCACCTGTAGTCCCAGCTACTCAGGAGGCTGAGGCAGGGGATCGCTTGAACCCAGGCAGCGGAGGTTGAAGTGAACTGAGATTGCGCCACTGCACTCCAGCCTGGGTGTGACAGAGTGAGTCTCTGTCTCAGAAGAAAAAAAAAGAAAACTTAAAAAGAGAATGAGGAATAGTATTTCCCCTGTAGGAAGACTATACTTTGAAATTACATTAATGACTACAGCACCATCCCAGGGACATAGTAAATGCTCAGTAAATGTCACCGTTGCTACCTTCTCTGTAATCATCATGGTTATCTTTTTTATTTTTTATTTTTTTGAGACAAGGTTTCACTCTGTTGCCCAGGCTGGAGTGCAGTGGCACAATTATGGCTCACTATAGCCTCAACTTCCCGGGCTCAGGTGCCTCCCATCTCAGCCTTCTGGTTAGCTGGCACTATAGGCACATCTACTATGCCCAGCTAAGTTTTGTATTTTTTTGTAGAGTCTGGTCTCACTGTGTTACCCAGGCTAGTTTTGAACTCCTAGGCTCAAGCAATCCACCCACCTCTGTCTCCTACTAAAGTGCTGGGATTGTAGGTGTGAGCCACTGCACCCAGCCATCATCACTTATCTGTGGCAGATGGGGTTAGCTGGACAGATTCAGAGGAGGGGAGATTTTGTAAGCAAGGATGAAGAAGGGCCTGGTCTGGACCATGAAATCTACTTAGTTCTATTTAGAGGTGTGGAGAGAAGCTGACAGGGCATGCTAGAAGGGGCTCGGGTTAATAAATTGCCAGGTTAGGCTGGAGAGGAGACATGGAGGCATGGGGTGGTCACAGGGTGGCTGCCAGCGGTCAGCACCTTTTGGGGCTGCCAGTGCTGGTTGTCAGGGAAACTAGCCATCAATCTGGTAGGAAGCCTGCTGACTGGGAGCCAGTTACCGTGTCCCGCTGAATCTGGGCAGCAGCACTGTGAGACTGGCCGTTACTGCCCCCAGGTAACAGGAGAGCTGGAGTACAAAGAGCAAGAGCTGCTGAGGGCCACACCACAGAGCTGGTGCCCTTCCCCACGGGTCTGTGGAGCAGCTGGGCAGGGGCTGGGCATGTGAGCTCCCTGAGGGAGACTTGAGGACTCCTACCCCCAGCCTCTGGGGCAGGAGCTGCTAGGGATTAGAATGGGGTCACTGACAGATCTTCCCCTGTCTATCCTTGAAGGAATACACAGTGCGTGGCCTACTGGGCAAAGCTACGGATGACTTCTGTGAGGATGGGCGGCTGGTGGAGAAGACAACCTATGGTGAGAGCCGGAAGTGGCTGCCGCCGCCTCCCTCAGCATTTGCTTTCTCTGAGTCCACTCACACCCAGGCCACGCAGGCCTCTTCTCAGTTACACTCAAAACAGCAGGCTTGGGCTGGGGCTTTGGCCACAGTATCTGTGCTCCCATCCTTGCCTGGCTCAAATGTCACCTCTAAAGACTCTAGTTTCTCTCCATATTGTCAGTCTTTTACCTTTTCTTTTTTTTTTTTTGAGATGAAGTCTCCCTCTGTCACAAGACTGGAGTGCAGTGGTGCAATCTTGGCTCACTGCAGCCTTCATCTCCTGGGTTCAAGCAATTCTCCTGCCTCAGCCTCCAGAGTAGCTGGGATTACAGGCACCTGCCTCCACACCTGGCTAATTTTTTTGTATTTTTAGTAGAGATGGGGTTTCATTCTGTTGGCCAGGCTGGTCTTGAACTCCTGACTTCAGGTAATCCACCTGCCTCAGCCTCCCAAAGTGCTGTGATTATAGGCCTAAGCCACCATGCCTGGCCGCTGTTCTAAATTTTAAAAAGAACAGTGAGGTATCAATTATGTAAGTAAAAAGTACCATGCCTGGCCGCTGTTCTAAATTTTAAAAAGAACAGTGAGGTATCAATTATGTAAGTAAAAAGTAAGGTAAGAGTCAGGCCAGTTCGCAGTGGCTCATCCCTGCAATCCCAGCACTTTGGGAGGCCGAGGAGGGCGGATCACCTGAGGTCAGAAGTTTGAGACCAGCCTGACCAACATGGGGAAACTCTTCTCTATTAAAAATACAAAAAAATTGTCTGGGTGCAGTGGTTCACGCCTGTAATCCCAGCACTTTGGGAGGCCAAAGGGGACAGATTACCAGATCAAGAGATTTAGACCATCCTGGCTAACACAGTGAAACCCCGTCTCTACTAAAAATACAAAAAATTAGCCAGTCATGGTGGCACATGCCTGTAGTCCCAGCTACTCAGGAGGCTTAGGCAGGAGAATCACTCGAACCCAGGAGGCAGAGGTTGCAGTGAACCGAGATCACACCACTGCACTTCAGCCTGGGTGACACAGTGAGACTCTGTCTCAAAAAAAAAATAAATAAATAAAATTAAATTAAAAATAAAAATACAGGCCGGGCGCGGTGGCTCAAGCCTGTAATCCCAGCACTTTGGGAGGCCTAGGTGGGTGGATCACGAGGTCAAGAGAGCGAGACCATCCTGATTAACATGGTGAAACCCCGTCTCTACTAAAAATACAAAAAATTAGCAGGGCATGGTGGCTCGTGCCTGTAATCCCAGCTACTCAGGAAGCTGAGGCGGGAGAATTGCTTGAACCCAGGAGACGGAGGTTGCGGTGAGCCGAGATCGTGCCATTGCACTCCAGCCTGGGTAACAAGAGTGAAACTCCGTCTCAAAAAATAATAATAATAATAATAAAAATACAAATACAAAAAATGGCTGGGCATGGTGGCTCATGCCTGTAATCCCAGCACTTTGGAAGGCCAAGGCAGGTGGACCACCTGAGGTTGGGAGTTTGAGACCAGCCTGACCAACATAGAGAAACCCTGCCTCTACTAAAAATACAAAATTAGCTGGGCATGGTGGTGCATGCCTGTAATCCCAGCTACTCGGGAGGCCAAGGCAGGAGAATCACTTGGACCTGGGAGGCAGAAGTTGCAGTCACCTGAGATTGCACCATTGCAGTCTAGCCTGGGCAAAAAGAGTAAAACTCCATCTCAAAAAAAAAATTCACTGGGCACGGTGGTGCACACCTATAATCTTAGCTACTCGGGAGGCTAAGGCAGAAGAATCACTTGAACCCAGGAGGTGGAGGTTGCAGTGAGCTGAGATCACACCACTGCACTCCAGCCTAGGTGACAGAGCCAGATTCCGTCTCAAAAAGAAGAAAAAAGAAATGAACCATAGAGCTGTGCCTGGTGGCTCATGCCTGTAATCCCAGCACTTTGGGAGGCCAAGGTGGGTGGATCACCTGAGGTCAGGAGTTCAAGACCAGCCTGACCAACATGGTGGAACCCCGTCTCTACTGAAAATACAAAATTAGATAGGCGTAGTGGCGCATGCCTGTAATCCCAGCTACATGGGAGGCTGAGGCAGGAGAATCACTTGAACCTGGGAGGTGGAGGTTGCAGTGAGCTGGGATCATGCCATTGCATTCCAGTCTGGGCAACAAGAGTGAAACTTCATCTCAGAAAAAGAGAAACAACAATGAACACAAAGAAGGAAACAACAGACACTTGAGGTGGGAGGGTAGGAGGAGGGAGAGAAGCAGAAAAGATAACTATTGGGTACTGGGCTTAATACCTGGGTGATGAAATAATCTGTACAACAAACCCCATGATATGTGTTTACCTATGTAACAAACCTTCACATGGACCCCGAACCTAAAATAAAAGGTAAAAACAGAGAGAATGTCCTTACAATGTTGAGTCATGTTTATCTTTCTGAGAAGGTCCAGCACTTTCATGAGCTTCTTAAAGGATACCCATCCGCCCCATCATGGAAATCCCTCCAAAACGTCCCCTTTCCATGTTCCAGGGATGGGGCTGGCCTGGGGGGAAGGAGTTTGCTGTGACCAACCCTCAGCAGGTACCTGTGCACTGACAACCCCCTGCCTTTTCCAGACCATGTGACAAGAGAGAAGCTGGACCGCATTCTGGCTATGATCCAAGGCTCCCATCAGAAGGCCCTGGTGATGTGAGTGGGGCCCTCAGGGAGGTCCTGGGAGAGCAGGAAGTGCCCTCGGCCCATAGGCTGCCCCCACCCTGGGGCAGATTCCATGGATCTTGTTTAGAGCCCAGAACCAGACAGGAGCTATCTATTTCTTTCTTGGCATCAAGAAGTGGTTCTGTGTGCCAGGTCTTGGGTTGGCCAATGGGAGGGCAAGAAGAACAAGAGACCCCAGATGTCCTCCTGGGAGTTTATGATCTAATGGCAAGGAAACCAGGGACCACATCATCAGAGCACAGAGCCCAAGGGCAAGAGCAGCCAAGGAGTTAAGAGCTTGGACTCTATTTCCATATAAAAAATTTTTTTAAAAATTAAAAAAAAAAAGAGCTTGGGCTCTAGAGCCAGCTTGCCTGGGTCTCCTGACTCTACCAGGTACCTGATAATGAAGGAGATGGCAGGAAAGGTGGCTGGAGGAGACGCAGTGGCAGGGCACACAAAGCAAGTGAGGCGCTTCCATAGAGGTGCCTTTCATGTGGGGGAAGGGGTAGGTGGTCAGCCCAGCTCCCTACCCGATGACATCTACCCAGCTGCAGCCCGCTCCTGATCTGCAGGTACTCCAACCTCGACCTGAAGACCCAGGAGGCTTACGATATGGCCGTGCGAGGCCTGATCCGGCCCATGAACAAGTCCCCGATGCTGATAACTGGCATCCGATGCCTCCACTTTGCACCTCCAGAATTCCTCATAGGTAGGCTGGCCAAGGAAGTTGGAGCAGTGGCATGGGGCACCGGGTTTGGGAGTGACTCTTGCGGAGGCTGCTGTTCTCTGGCTCAGCTGAGGCCAGAACATGCCGGACCTGATCTCTGCGGGCCATCAGGCGTCGACTTCCTTCCCAGCCCTGGCCTGGACTTAGCTGATGACAGAGCTCACGGAACAAAATCTCTCCTATCTTTTGCTAAGTCACCTCTGGAAGCCAGACCTTACCAAGCAAAGGTTATATTTAGTGGCTCATTTCTAGAGCTGCCCAGTGTTTCAAACTGTCAGGGCTCCATCAGACACAACTCTTACCTCGCCAGTCCCACCCAGCTCAGGCCCCACTTAACTGCGTTCCTTCGGTCTCTCCCTGTCCCCACCCCTTTTTTCTGTTGGTCATGTTAATGCCTGCTCCTCTGCTGGAACACTGAACTCTCCAGGCTTTTTTTGTTGTTTTTTTTTTTTTTTGAGACGGAGTCTCACTCTGTCACCAGGCTGGAGTGCAGTGATGCAATCTCAGTTCACTGCAACCTCCGCCTCCCAGGTAGCTGGGACTACAGGCGTGTGCCACCAGGCTCAGCTAATTTTTATATTTTTAGTAGAGACGGGGTTTCACCATGTTGGCCAGGATGGTCTTGATCTTTTGATCTGCCTGCCTCAGCCTCCTAAAGTGCTGGGATTACAGGTGTGAGCCACCCACCACGCCCGACCAAGAACTCCCGTTATTAAGTACTTTCTATAAATGATCTCTTTTACTCCTCATAACTCCCATTTTACAGATAAGGAAACTGGGTCTTAGTAAAAGGCAGGTTCTGACCTGGGCAACACGGCGAGACCTCGTCTCTATAAAAAATAAAAAATTTGCCAGTTGTGATGGCTGAGACCTATAGTCCTTAGCTCCTCCGGAGGCTGAGGCTAGAGGATCACATGAGTGAGGTTGAGACTGCAGTGATCTGTGATTGTACCACTGCACTCCAGCCTCGGTGATGGAATAAGACCCTGTCTCCAAAAAGAGGCAGATTCTGACTTAGCAGGTCCAGGTGGGGCCTGAGGCTCTGCAAGTCTAACCCATTTGAGGTGGCACCCACTGGGCAGGTCCTCTGAATAGCACAGCCTAGAGAGCTAAGGGGTCTTGCTATAAGGTTGTTACCTAGGAGGTATCCAAGAGTTGTGGGTTGAGAACCACACACCAGAGGCTGTGCTCTCACCACCATGTCTGTCATTGTGTGTCCCTGGCAGAGGTGCAGTGCATGCATGAGACCCAGAAAGAGCTGCGAAAGTTGGTACATGAAATTGGTCTGGAGCTAAAGAGCACTGCTGTCTGCTCCCAAGTGCGGCGCACACGCGATGGCATCTTCACACTGGACAGTGCTCTCCTGAGGACCCAGTGGGACCTACACAGTATCCAGGATGCTATCCAGACTGCTGCCCCCCGGGTAGCTGCAGAGCTGGAGAAGAGCTTGAGCCTGGGGCTGGACACCAAGCAACTCCCCAGTCCGGGATGGTCCTGGGACTCCCAGGTCCCAGGCTCTGCCTTGGGGCTGGAGACGGATGCTAGGCAGTGAATGCCCAGGCAGCTGCTGGGGCAGTTGGTGGATAAGTTGAATAACTGCTTATGAGCTGGACCTGATGGCTGTGCAGAAAGTGAGAGTAGGGGCCACCTTTTCTCCATGCAACACAAAACTTGAGCTGTAACAGAAAAGATCAATGGACTTGATCCAACCAAGAAGGAAAATCTTCTGTATGGAGGAAAAGACAATAAACATATGACAGACTGATGAAAAGTATCAGCAGGCCAGGTGTGGTGGCATGCATTTGTAATCCCAGCTACTCCCAGGGCTGCGGCAGGAGAATCGCTTGAGCCCAGGAGTTTGAGATTGTAGTACTCTAGACTGCACCTGTGAATAGCCACTGCACTCTAGTCTAGACAACATATGAGACCCACACATTTCACAAAAATGAAAAATTAGGCCAGGCTTGGTGGCTCATGCCAGTAATCCCAGCACTTTGGGAGGCTGAGGTGGGTGTATCACCTGAGGTTGGGAATTCAAGACTAGCTTGACCAAAATGGAGAAACCCTATCTTTTCTAAAAATACAAAATTAGCTGGGAATGGTGGCACATCCCTGTAGTCCCAGCTACTTGGGAGGCTGAGGCAGAAGAATCACTTGAATCTAGGAGGCAGAGGTTGCAGTCAGCTCAGATTGCAATCCAGCCTGGGCAACAAGAGCAAAATCGTCTTTTAAAAAAAAAAAGAAAAGAAAATCACCTGGAGAGATCTTTGAAAATCCAAATTCTAGGCCCAACTCTTGGATTCTGACTCAGTAGATCTGGAGTGGGATCCAGAAACCTGCATTTTCTCAAGTTTCCCGAGTGAATCTGATGCCAGCGCTTTAAGAAACGGCCCCAGAGAGGCCAGCTAGGCTACTGGAGAAGCCATTTAAGAAGACGGGGGCAAGGTTGCAGGCAGTGGCTCACGCCTGTAATCCCAGCACTTTGGGAGGCCAAGGTGGGTGGATTACTTGAGGTCAGGAATTTGAGCCCAGGCTGGCCAATATGGTCAAACCTTGTCTCTACTAAAAATACAAAAATTAGCTGTGTGTGGTGGCACGTGCCTATAGTCCCAGCTACTCGGGAGTCTGAGGCAGGAGAATCACCTGAACCCAGGAGGTGGAGGTTGCAGTGAGCCTAGACCACCCTATTACACTCCAGCCTGGCAAGAGAGAGAGACTATTTCTCAAAAAAAAGAAGAGGGTGGCCACCTACCAAGGGTGGTTGGGCATGGTGTATTTATTAGTTTGCCAGGGGTGTTCTAGGAAGGTGCCACAAAGTTAGAAATGGATTTTCTTGGCCGGGCACAGTGGCTCACACCTATAATCCCACCACATTGGGAAACCAAGGTGGGTGGATCCCTTGAGGTCAGGAGTTCTAGACCAGCCTGACCAACATGGTGAAAGCCTGTCTCTACTAAAAATACAGAAATTAGGTGGACATTGTGGCCTGTTGTCCCAGCTACTTGGGAATCTGAGGCAGGAGAATTGCTTGAACCCAGGATGTGGAAGTTGCAGTGAGCTGAGATAGCACCACTGCACTCCAGCCTAGGCAACAGAGCAAGACTTGTCTCTGAAATAAAAAAAAGAAAGAAATGGATTGTCTTGAAGCCCTGGAGGCTGGAGGTCCGAGATGAAGGTGTTGGCCTTCTTGGGCTGTGAGTGCAAGTTGGCTCCATGCCCCTTCTCCAGCTTCTGGTGGTTGCTGGTGATCTGGGGCACTCCTTGGCTTGTGTGAGCATCAGCCTGCTCTCCACCTGTGTGTTCCTGTGTGTCTCCAGATTTCCCCCTTTTATAAGGTACCAGTCAAATTAGGAGCCAACCCAACTCATCTTAACTAATTATATCCTCAATGACCCAATTTCTAAATGTGGTCACATCCTTAGGTCTTCCCAGTTAAGACTTCAACAAAGGAATTTTGGGGATACACAATTCAATGGATAACAAATGGTTAGACGTTCACCTGGGCTGGCCCAGTGCTCCTTAGAGCACTGTTGTCCTGACCAGAAGCCTCCCCAGAGGTCAGGGAAGGTCCCTTACTCTCCTCAATTGCCACCAAGACAGCAGCCCCTCCACCCCTGCTGCAGACTGACAGGTAGGTGGGATGCTGCAGTTAGTAAACGCCCCCTAAGAACTCAGGGAGGGGGGTGTGGTGGGCATGGTGGCTCATGCCAGAAATCCCAACACTTTGGGAGGCTGAAGGGGCAGGATCATTTGAAGACAGGAGTTGGAGACCACTCGGCCAACATCGGCAGACCCCATCTTTTTTTTTGTTTTCTTTCTGGGACGGAGTTTCATTTTTTTTTTTTTTTTGTCTTGTGACAGAGTCTTACTCTGTTGCCCAGGCTGGAGTGCAGTGGTGCAACCTCAGCTCACTACAACCTCCGCTTCCCGGGTTCAGGCGATTCTTCTGCTTCAGCCTCCTGAGTAGCTGGGACTACAGGCGTACGCCACCACGCCCGGCTAACTTTTGTATTATTAGCAGAGACGGGGGTTTCACCATCTTGGCCAGGCTGATCTTGAACTCCTGACCTTGTGATCCGCCCGCCTTGGCCTCCCAAAGTGCTGCGATTACAGGCTTCATTGCACCCAGCTCAGAGTTTCACTCTTTATCGTCAAGGCTGGAGTCCAGTGGCTCACCACAACCTCTGCCTCCTGGATTCAAGCGATTCTCCTGCCTCAGCCACCCAAGTAGCTGGGATTTCAGGCACGTGCCACCATGCCCAGCTAATTTTGTATTTTATTATTTTTGAGACAGAGTTTCGTTCTTGTTACCCAGGCTGGAGTGCAATGATGCGATCTTGGCTCACCGCAACCTCCGCCTCCTGGGTTCAGGCAATTCTCCTGCCTCAGCCTCCTGAGTAGCTGGCATTACAGGTACGTGCTACCATGCCCAGATAATTTTTTGTTTTTAGTAGAGACAGGGTTTCACTATGTTGACCAGGATGGTCTTGATCTCTTGACCTCATGATCCACCTGCCTCGGCCTCCCAAAGTGCTGGGATTACAGGCTTGAGCCATTGCGCCCGGCAATTTTGTATTTTTAGTAAACATGGGGTTTCTCCATGTTGGTCAGGGTGGTCTCGAACTCTGATCTCAGGTGATGCACATGCCTCAGCCTCCCAAAATGCTGGGATTATAGGCGTGAGCCACAGGAGCCGGCCGGGAGACACTATTCAAACTTAAAAACTAGCCAGGACAGATGAGGGTCCAGGTCTCATGGAGCTTACATTGTAGGGAGACAGTGGTGCATGTCTGTGGTCCCAGCTACTTGGGGGGCTGAGGCTCGAGGATCACTTGGGCCCAGGAGTTTGAGGCTGTAGTGAGCTATGATTGCGCCACTATACTCCAGCTTGGGAGACAGAGCCAGACCCTGTGTCAAACAAACAAAAAGAACTCTGGTTGGAGTGCTAGGGACCAGGACTGCTCTCAGCACTCCATGGAGCTAGGCTAGGAGGAGGGGGCAGCCCAGGGGCCCCAGTGGGTCTTGGGTGGTGACGTGGGCCAGGGAAATTACCTAGGCCTCTCCAGGGCTTTCCGCAAGCAGCTCCCTTCCCCTGTCCAAATAAGAATGTAAACTTCGAGGCCGAGGCAGGTGGATCACGAGGTCAAGAGATCGAGACCATCCTGGTCAACATGGTGAAACCCCGTCTCTACTAGAAATACAAAAAATTAGCTGGGCATGGTGGCGCGTGCCTGTAATCCCAGCTACTCAGGAGGCTGAGGCAGGAGAATTGCCTGAACCCAGGAGGCGGAGGTTGCGGTAAGCCGAGATCGCACCATGGCACTCCAGCCTGGGTAACAAGCTAAACTCGTCTCAAAAAAAAAAAAAAAAAAAAAGAATGATGTAAACATCACTTGGCCAGGCATGGTGGCTCACACCTATAATCCTAGCACGTGGGAAGCTGATAGGAGCAGATCACTTGAGGTCAGGAGTTTGAGACCAGCCTGGCCAACATGGTGAAACCCCATCTCTACTAAAAATACAAAAATTAGCTGGGCGTGGTAGCAGACACCTGTAATCCCAGATATTCGGGAGGCTGCAGCAGGAGAATCACTTGAATCTGGGAGGTGGAGGTTGTGAGCCGAGATCATGCCACTGCATTCCAGCCTGGGTGACCCAGTGAGACTCAATCTCAAAAAGAAAAAAAGAGAAAAAAAGAACAAAAGCAATATTTAGATAAGCAGAATCCAACGAAATGGTGGGGAAAGCTGGGTGGGAGTGGAGGGTATCAGCAAAATTCAGTTCACTGGAAAAATTAGGTAACTTGAACCCAGGGCACGTGGGCTGTCACATCACCCCATTTGGAGCCCTTATTGGCACAGAGATGATAAAAGTGGACTCCCTGGTTGGGCGTGGCGGCTGATGCCTGTAATCCCAGAACTTTGGGAGGCTGAGGCGGGCGGATCACGAGGTCAAGAGATCAAGACCATCCTGGCCAACATGAAGAAACCCCGTCTCTACTGAAAAATACAAAAATTAGCTGAACCTGGTGGTACATGCCTGTAATCCCAGCTACTTAGGAGGCTGAGGCAGCAGAATTGCTTGAACCCAGGAGGTGGAGGTTGCAGTGAGCCAAGATTGTGCCACTGTACTCCAGCCTAGCGCCTGGCAACAGCGTGAGAATCTGTCTCAAAAAAAAAAAAAAAAAAAAAAGGTGGACTCCCTGATGGCCTCTCATGATCTCAGGCAGGATAGCATGATAGGGGAACTCTGAGTCACGGCTGAAATATTTGGTCAATGTACAACCTCAGACACATGGGAATACCACCCCAAATCACTTGGATGAGATGTTTTCCTTCTCCTGTGCCTTTAACTCTGAGAAGGCTGGAGTTGAACAGTAATGTCAAAATGTACAAATGTGTAAACATCATGAGATATTTAAGCTGAGCTTTAAAATTTGAATTCTGGCTGGGCGCGGTGGCTCACGCCTGTAATCCTAGCACTTTGGGAGGCTGAGGTGGGTGGATCACCTGAGGTCAGGAGTTCAAGACCAGCCTGGCCATCATGGTGAAACCCCATCTTAAAAAAAAAAAAAAATTAAATTCTGCTGGGTGTGGTGGCTCCTGCCTGTAATCCCAGCACTTTGGGATCCCTGCACAAGAGGATCGCTTGAGCCCAGAAGTTTGAGACCAGCCTGGGTAACACAAGGAGACCCTGTCTATACCAAAAAAAAAAAAAAAAATAGGGAGGGTGAGATGGGAGGATTGCTTGAACCCAGCAAGTCAAGGTGGCAGT